ACGCAGCATGCACTGGTGATGCACACGTTGGTAAGTGTCCCACTGACCAGTTAGGTAGGTGTGAGTATGCATTGTTGCTTTCAGCTGGGCCGTCCTAGGTGCAGGTGCCTTTGCCACATTTAGCTCCTAAACCATGCAAGCACTCTCAAGGCCCCCAGAGGGATGGCTTTCATTGTGGGGGCAATTGTCACAGGGTGGGGACCAGGGGCTGGGAAGGAGCAAAGGCAGGGATCAGGCTCCCAAACCCAGGAGTTTGCAGCATGACAGTGAAAGCAGACTCCAGCAAAGCCTCCCTCCATCACACCCAGTGACAGAAAGTGCTGGCCCTCTCTGTGTACATGTCCCATGGGTGTAAGATTCTGTAGGACACTGGCTTTCCTCTGGGGCTGGTGGCCAATGTGAGTGATGTCACTGGCTGCTCGGCAGTGGGGTGGCAGCAGACATCAGCCTTTAAGCAGTGAGGACAAGTGTGGGCTGAGGACCTTGGGGCAGGCAGGGAGAGCACTCCCCTGGGGCAGAAGTAGAGGCCAGCTGAGTCCCGGGAGGCCAGTGTACATGGGCCTGTGGCACTGCAACACAGCAGTCAGCTCCGTGCCTAGGGCCACCCTGTGAAGAGAAGGGGCTGGAGAGCAGTCCCTCTGCCCAGCTTGCCCTCCTGCCACCTGGATGGTCTCTCAATGACTCCATGGCAGGCACTATCAGATGACTTTGGTCTCCTTCCTCTCAGTTCTCTGTGCGTGGAGTGGTTGAATGCCATTTTGGTGCCTGTGACACCCCCGTCATGAGAGCACAGATTACATCTCCCCTGGCACTGGAGCTGCCCACAGTGTGCCTGGCTCACCTCTCGGATTCCACGCTGCCAGTGTACTTCCCTGCTGTGCATTGGGGGTTTCTAGCAAGTGCTGAGCCCCTTTTTGCTCTCGAAGGACCACGAAAGGCTTTCCCTCACCCCACCCCCCACCCTCTGTCTCCAATGACTGGCCAACTGCCATTCGCTGAAACCCAGCTCAGTCCTCAGCCCCTGAGAAAGCTCCCTTGACTTACTTCCCAGGTGCTCTGTGTGAATTTGGACTTTGACCACAGATCCTGGTTCTGTTTCCTTTCACCCCACTGCTCACAGACTGCGGGACTCCTCAGGAGAAGGGCAAGGTCGGATTTCTCCATTTTCTCTAACATTTATCATGTTCCATTGATGTTAAATGTTTTGTTTGTGTTTGTGATGGAATTTTAAGCTTTTTTTTATTTTGACGATTTGTTTTTCCTTTGTAGTCTGTAAGGTCACTAGAGAGGGATGCAAAAGTCTTTTATCGATCATACTTCTAAAGACCAAGCAGGAAAGTGTGAAAGATGCCCATTGAGGCCAGTTATAAAAGCCAGCGGCAAGCCGGAGCGTCCTCCCTGGGGCTGTCAAATCCCTGCTCACCTTAGGGCTGAGTGTGGTAGACTCTGTTGCAGGCGTTGGGAGGTATGTGTGGGGCAGTCGGCGCCTCTGTCCTGTGCTCTGTGGCTGCTGGGCTGTCCCTGGGGTGCAGCAAACTCCCAGGGGTCTATAAATCAGGCCCTGGGAAACACAAGGATTAAGCAAGAGGGATTAAACTGCTCTATTTTTTTTATGTTTACTAACTGTGTTCCTAAGCCTGGCTTGTAGTCAGGTTGAGGCATGGAGGGCAGCTGAGGCTTGCACTATAATGTGTTGCTACTTGCCATAATCCTGGAATCGCATCCCACCCTGTCCAGGCCTGGGAGGCAGAACCTTTCTGCAGCCGGGGCATGATGCCTGGTTGTTGTGAGGATGCCTGCCCTCCCCTTTGGCACGGGCTGGAAAGCTGCCTGCACTCCACTCTTGAGGACAAAGTTGTTGAAAGAAGGAAGATACTTTAATTGACAATCACTTCATCTTTGGCACCAGCTACCTAATTACAGAATCCACTGAGCTCCCCTGGTGGGAGGTGTGTTTTCATCTCATTTGTGGCATCCATTAGACAAAAGACAGAGAATGTGTCTCACTTATCACTTCATTCCTTTCCACGAACACAGGGTAAGTGACTAAGAAATGGCAACTATTGGGAGGCTGAGGCAGGAGAATCTCTAGAACCCAGAAGGTGGAGGCTGCACTCCAGCCTGGGAGACAGAGTGAGACTCCATCTCAAAAAAAAAAAAAAAATGGTAACTATATGGATAAATGAACTTAGATCAACCTCGACTATTTTCTGGGACTCAGCACAGAGACAGTAAAATTTTGTAAGATATGGAAGTTCAAAGTGCTTCACAAATGCTGTCTGCGCCATGACCAGAGGAGGAGGTATTATCCCATTTCACAGATGCAGGTGGTACAAGCGTGTAAGCATGCAGTGGGGCAGTACTTTGTGTTTAAGCCAGGTCTTCCTGTGAGCTCATTTTCCTCCTCAAAGCCTTGCTTATTCTCTTATGACCAGAGAAGAGAGTCTGCTTTGAGTGCACACGAGCACAACACATATTCCTGAGGCTGCACATCGCAGTATGCGGCGGTTTGTGGGTCCCGCTAGGTGGTGAGATCTTTGAAGACATACAGGTTCTTGCAGCTCTTGGATGCTCCTGAGTCTGCTCTGATTGGGTGGGGCAGGTAGACAGGAAGGGCTCCTGGAGTTCCAGAAGGAAGACATTGGAATGTCTGATGCCTGGATCCATGGCTAGAAAGGGGCACTGAAGGATGGGTAGGGGAGGAGCCGGGGTGGACAGAGACATGGGTGTCTCGGATGGTCACCAGGAATGTTCCTGTCTAGTTCTCAAAAACATGAACGCAGCAGGGAGAGGAAGGAGACTAAACATCTGCTGCAGCCAGCATCACTCTCAGGGATGAAGGTGCTATTTGGAGAAAAGCCACACTTTCAGCTGTCTTCTCCAGGGAGTGTCGCAGATCCTCCAGGGGCTTGCGGTGGTGGCCTGAGCTCAGGAGAGATTCACTTTTTGCCTGGGGAAGAAGGCATGTTGGAACCAATCATAAAAATGGTGGAATTTGAGACAATCCCATGTAGCAAAATGTTTCTGTGGGCAGGTGGGCACTAGAGGCATTACTCCTGGTCTCTTACTCTTAGTCACAACAGGATTTGTTTGCTCAACACGAGTATAGAGGATTTCTCCTATCTGTATAGTCCCGTTCTAGACAAAAACCAAAACAAAAAAAAGGTCATGAATGAAATGTTCCTGTGAATACAAGGCAGTATTCTTGCCAGTGGTCCCCCAATCCTTCTTGATCAATATTACTACCATTTGACAGCCAAGAAATATGAGCCTTGACACAGTTGAGTATCCTGCCCAGTTATCACAGAAGAGAGCAGTTAGAGTACATTTACACGCCGCTCTAAATCTGTTTGCCATTTACGAAAAAACAAGAAAAGGCACAAAAAACCTTCAATGGGCTTATATTCTGACTGAGGGATGAAAATGAGTGCCTAAGATATGATGTGGCAATAAGAAGAATAAGATGCCAGAGAGCTGACGGGTTACCCAGTGATGAGTTTGAGGGCAGTGCCACTCTCTGTGGGACCTGAGCAGGCAGCATGGTGAGGGCAGTGCCACTCCTCATGGGACCTGGGCAGCCAGCACGGTGAGGGCAGTGCCACTCTCTGTTAGACCTGGGCTGCCAGCACAGTGAGGGGAGGGCAGAACATCCATATACCTGCCTACGGAGCAGCTTGTCTGTCTTCAGACACCTCACAGGGACAGAGAGGGAACAGCTCTCTGAAGCCTGTCCCCTGTCAACGGTGGGCAAGGCCGGGGCAGGGCTACCTGGGACGTGTGCTGAGGCCTGGGGTAGGCCCTGGGCTAGGCTGTATGGACCTGAGGCTGCAAGAAATGAAGGTAACAGGTAGACCTAGGAATCGTGTGAGCCAGAGAGGCTCCCAGGAAGTCACAGCAGTATGTCCACCTGTTGAAGGACTGAGCATACAAGGAGAAACCTGGATGGGAGGCAAGGTGTGATTAAAGGCATCAGCGGGAGGCCTGGGAAAAACCTGGAGAATTGTTGAGAATATTTATAGACGGTGCATAAAGGCAGTGAGCAGGCTTGCTCGGGAAGGGCTCACAGCTGTGGAAGCTTAGACCGTTTAGGACTTGGCAAACTAGGCAGGCATGAGCTTATGTCATATATAAAACAGAGGGGCCTTTGGCAGCTTTAGAGCAAGCCCTGTGCAGCCCCCTCAGGGGCTACAGCCTCCAGAGAGATGAGCTTCCTGGAGGAGCGTGCTGCAATTCCATAGGTGGTATGTAACACAGCACAGCATCAGGGAAGGCAGCCTCTGCACAGAAACCACCCCTGCAAAAATGCCTGCAAGCCAGGCCTCATTTGCATTCTTCTTTTAAAAACAGCAACACTGGGAAGCCGAGGCGGGCGGATCACTTGATATCAGGAGTTTGAGACCAGCCTGACCAACATGGGGAAACCCTCACTCTACTAAAAATACAAAATCAGCTGGGCGTGGTGATGTGCGCTTGTAATCCCAGCTACTCGGGGGCTGAGGCAGGAGACGTGACTGAATCCAGGAGGCAGAGGTTGCAGTGAGCTGAGACTGTGCCATTGTACTTCAGCCCAGGCAACAAGAGCGATCTCAAAATAAATAAAAAAACGGGTGTGTTTTGCAGTTGTTTTGTTACTGTTACCTCTATGTAAGACATTATCTTACATAGTTCTTTGTATGGTAATATTTAAAGAAGTAAACCTAAGGTCCCCCAGGATCAAAATGGTATCCTAAGTGAGAATATGTAAGTACTTTGCTCTACCAATTCCTCCAGTTATTTACCACTGAAATAACTCAACTACTAGAAAAGGCAAAATGATATCTCACAGTGAGTAACCATAAAAAATTGAAGACTGACCTACAAAGTATCTGTCAGATTTCATCTCAGCTCTCAGTATGAATGAACCAGGCATCTCTATGTGAATGTTTGCAAAGAGCAAGATCACAGAACAGAAAGGATACAAATTCCAAAGAGCAGTACCAGTGTGAACACTTTTTAAAAAATGTCAGACTGGTAATGTGCCGACATCGTAACAAGATCTAAGAGAGGCACTTCTCACACTTGAGTGTGAAAGCCCAATCATCCCATTCAAAAACCACAAAACATCCAGCATGAACATATATTTTTTTCTGGAGACGGAGTTTCACTTTTATCACCCAGGCTGGAGTGCAGTGGCGCGATCTTGGCTCACTGCCACCTCTGCCTACCGGGTTCAAGTGATTCTGTTGCCTCAGCCTTGTGAGTAGTTGGGATTACAGGCATGTGCCACCACACCCAGCTAATTGTTGTCTTATTAGTAGAGACATGGTTTCACCATGTTGGCTAGGCTGGGCTTGAACTCCTGACCTCAGGTGATCCAACCTCCTTGGCCTCCCAAAGTGCTAGGATTATAGGCATCAACCACCACACCCAGCCCAATGTGGACATTTAAAGCAACTGGATTCCTCTCAAATGAAGATGCCATGGGGTGGAGAAAAGAAGAGAAAAAAGAGAGAAAAAATGACTTCAACAATAATAACTAAAACCCCAAATCATGTGCTGTAAGAGAGGAAAAGGTGGAACACGGTGGAGCGGCCAGACTGCTGCAGAAAGCAGTCATCTCAAGAAGGGGTAAGTGTACAAAAGGCATGGTGACTGAAGTAAATGGCACACTGGAGAGTGAAAAAAACAAATTATTGAATTAGTTCAAGGGAATCTCTTGAAGTTCAGATGAAAGAGATAAACAGAGGAAAAATTTGAATGACAGTGAGACTCCCAAGAGTCCTAATACATGGATATCAGAAATTCCATAAGAACAGAACTGAACAGACAGAGCAAGGCTAGAAATAACTGTTTCTCTGAACTAATGGCCTGAGTTTTCTGGTTGAGCTCACTAAATGTTGATTAAGATAATTGAAGAAAATACAAGCTGGGCAGCACCTGCTGACATTGTTCAATTTCATCTACACAGAAAAATGTTTTTTAACCAGCCAAAAAAGGATAAAATTGTTTTTAAAAAACTATGAAATAGCAAAATTACTTTCTCAACTAAAATATTAAAAATTAGAAAACATGGAGTAATATTTACAGAGTTCTGAAAAGTATTAAGACTCTAGAATATCTTGCTTTTCATTATATGCAAAGAGATAAGATAATTCCGATGCAAAGTCTCAAAAAAAAAGCTTCCTAACCCTGGCCTGTCTTCTCCGGGCTGGGGTCATAAATGCTCTAGAAAAGCCTGCTGCAAATGGAAAGTGACGTAGAATAGCCCAAGACAGTAAAAGGTGTGGTATGGAATAGAGTTTGCCAAAATAGGGCATTCCTACTACTGGGAAATGGAGGAGAATTTTTAATTACGTATGAATGAATATTTTAATTTTCATAGCAATCTATTTTTTCATGAATTCAAAAACCTGGCTGGTGTGGTGGCACATGCCTGTAATCCCAGCACTTTGGGAGGCCAAGGTGGGTGGATCACTTGAGGTCAGGAGTTCAAGACCAGCCTGACCAACATGATGATACCCCGTCTCTACTAAAAATACAAAAAAAAAAAAAAAAAAATTAACAGAGTGTGGTGCCGTGCACCTGTAATCCCAGCGACTTGGGAGGCTGAGGCAGGAGAATCACTTGAACCCGGGAGGCAGAGGTTGTGGTGAGCCGAGATTGTGCCATTGCACTCCAGCCTGGGCAAGAAGAGAGAAACTCCATCAAAAAAGAAAGGAAGAAAGGAAAGAGAAAAAAAAGAAGGAAAGAAAAGAAAGAAAGAAAGAAAGAAAGAAAGAGAGAGAAAGAAAGAAAGAAAGGAAAGAAAAAGAAAGAAAGAAGGCAAGAAAGAAAGAAAAAGAAAGGAAGGAAGGAAAAAGAGAGAGATATATAAGGAACAATATTCCACAGGACATGTTTATGTGGAAAACTGAAGTGTAAAAGTCACTAGCATTAAGTAAACAATGTGGAATAACAAAAGCAGTAGAAGTTAGAGTAATATTATATGACTGGTTTTAACGTTTTTGTGAGCCTTCATGCAAAAGTTAAGAAATAATTCTCAAATTAAGTGTTGGTTGGGGTCTTGATTGCAGAAAACAATTAGTAGATTATTACACCAGGGGGTTATTAAGGGATAAAGCTGTAGAATTCTTGAGAGGGTTGAAGAAACAGCATAGGTCAAGCCTCCAGGAGCAACAAACGTCCTACACCATACGGTAAGCCAGGTCACCATAGTAGCTGCTGGCCCCGCCGTGATTGGAAACTGCTCCAGTGTAATGATCTCCCTGTAGGCACTGGTTCAAGAACCATGAATGTCTAGTGCTTCCCCCTCTTCCCAAGTAAACTCTTGTCCATGCAAAATTCTCATGTGGGTTCAGAAAATAGGCAGACCCTCTATCACTTGTCTTCTTCCTGGGAGGCTGAAAAAATAATTTTTTGAATTTGTATTGGAAAAGTGTTGTTTGCCCTGGGGGTAAATATAGGAATGTTCACAAAGGTGCTCCTAAGATTCAGGGTGGCTGAAATGGCAAATGATCATGACAAAAGACATCATGCATATCAGTGAGTTGATAACTTAGAACTAAAGTTCCATAGATATACAACAGAATCTGGTAAGTCAATGGAATTTGGGGGACAAAAAACTCTGAAGTTCCCCTATTAGGAATGAGTCCATGTAAAGTAGTCACTTTTGAGATTTACTTAGGATAAAGTGTGCTAACTTTTTTTTTTTTTTTTTTTTTTTAGACAGAGTCTGGCTCTGTCATCCAGGCTGGAGTGCAATGGTGCAATCTCAGCTCACTGCAACCTTCGCCTCTTGGGTGTAAGTGATTTTCCTGCCTCAGCCTCCCGAGTAGCTGGGATTACAGGCACATGCCACCACTCCCAGCTAATTTTTGTGGTTTTAGTAGAGCTGGGGTTTCAACATGTTGGCCAGGCTGGTCTCGAACTCCTGAACTTGTGATCTGCCTGCCTCAGCCTCCCAAAGTGCTGGGATTATAGGCATAAGCCACCACCCTCGGCCATGCTATCATTTTTAATATCATGTAAAATCAAACATCTTTAATTTCTTTAACGCAAGTGCTGTTGATTGTTTATTGCATTGCTGATAAAACAAAAACAGCCTTCCATCAACAACAAATACATGTCAAGTAAGAAGAAAGGACATGTGAACCGCCAAGGTTTACATCAACAGCGATAAGCCATGTTGACAATATGTTCCCTTGATAAGACCTGATGAAGATGTCACTTTACCTCTATGGTCTTTCTCCCTAAAATTTGTGATAAAATAATCATGAGAAACATTGGGGAACATTGAAAAATCAAAATGAGGAACATTCTAAAAAACACTTAACCCCTCATCCCTGTCAGGGCCACATAAAACCAAGAAAAGTCAGAAACTCTCACCAAGAGCACCTATGGAGACTTGATGTCTAAAAGGTATGTGGTGCCCTGATGAGATCTTAGTACAGACAGGGGCCATTAGGTTACAAGTAAGATGATCTGAGTAAAGGGTGGGCTGTAGTTAATAATAACGTACCAATATTGAGCCATTAGCTTTAAGAAATGTCTCCTACTGGCTGGGCATGGTGGCTCACGCCTGTAATCCCAGCACTTTGGGTGGCCAGGGCAGGCAGATCACAAGGTCAGGAGTTCGAGACCAGTATGGGCAATATGGTGAAACCCCATCTCTATTAAAAATACGAAAATTAGCCAGGCGTGGCGGTGGGTGCCTGTAATCCCAGCTACTCGGGAGGCTGAGGCAGAGGAATCTCTTGAACCCAGGAGGCAGAGATTGTAATGAGCTGAGATTGCGCCACTACACTCCAGCCTGGGCCATAGAGTGAGACTCTGTCTCAAAAAACAAAAAACAAAAAAACCCTCCATCTTAAAAAAAAAAAAAAAAAGAAAGAAATGTCTCACAGTACTCACACTAAGGTAGGATGATAATAAATACATACTCTCTCTATATATAGAGAGATCTATCTATCTATCATCTATCTATCTAGAAAGACAGAAACAGAGAAAGAACTGTGTAATACCTTTACCATTTTTTTCTGGAAACTTAAAATTATTCTTAAAAATAAACACATTATTGGAAATAAACACTCAACTATCAATAAAAGGACATACACATAACAAATAGAACATGATGAATTGCAGGTGCTATGATGCAAAGTGAGGTCAGAGAGAGTGAGAAGGAAGGCATGCTGTTTTAGGTGGGGTGGTGGGGAGGCCTCTGCTCCAGTGACGCACGAGTAGAGAGTGGACAGACTGGAAGCAAGCCCTGTGTCTACTGAAGGGAAAGCACTCAGAGAGGAAACAGCAAGCGAAGATGCCGAGGCAGAAATGTGCTTGGCAGGCTTGAAGCACAGCAAGACCAGTGCAGCTGGTAACTGATGAGAGGTGAGTGGGAAAGGGATAAACGTGGGTTGTAAATCTCAGCGAGGCCTTGATGCCTCATCCTGAGTGACATGAGGACCACTAATGTGATAAATTTTAAAAGACTCGTTCTGGCTTCTTTGACTGAGCAGGCTATACTTGGGCAAGAGTAGGTTCACAGATACTAAGGCGAAGGCTATTTTATTTGTCAGGTTGAGAAAGGTGAGGGTGGTGTAGACCAGGGTGGTCAAGGAGAAGCGGTCAGATTTCTGATATAGTGGAAAGCCAGAGTTTTAGCTTAAACTGACTTGTAGAGAAAAGCAAAAGGCAGGCAGTAAAATTCCTCACGAGTGTCCTCAATGAGGAATAGTGATGGTGGGAAGGTAGCAAGTACAGGAAGTGGGACGGGAGAGAACATGGATAGAACTTTCTTCCAAGGGCCTAGGAAGTCTCAGAAAGGATGGAGAGACAGTGCTCTGAAGAAAACAGCAATGTGGACCAAGGTTACCATATGCACCTTTACGCTGTGTGGACGTTATATGAGCCGTGGGAGGGAACAACCCCAGCACTTCATAGGGCAATAGAGAAATATGTGTATTCAGAGGAAGGCTAAGTTTTGTTTAGAACAAGTGAGTGAAGGAAATTTCAAAGAAGAGATTTACCATATCGAGTATTATTTTGCTGATGAGAGTTTGCAATCCATGGGGCAGAGTGGAAGGACTTGGGTGTTGAAGGCTTGTTGAGAGATTGAGTAAGATTAAGTA